CCACCCTTCCCCCTCTTGGTTGCAGAGCCCCCCGCCGTGCAGCCCCTGCCCAGCTTGGTGCAGGTGAGGGTCAATGCTGCTGTGGTTTTGCCCTGCGAGGCCTCTGGGCTCCCGCGCCCCGTGATCACATGGCAGAAGGAAGGGATCAACATACCAGCAGGTGAGCTTGGGTGCCGCAAAGGCAGCCGAGCCCAGGGCTGCCATGCCGGTCACTGCTGCAGCCGCAAGGCCCCTGAGGGGTTGGTGACGCTGCTGGATCTTAGCACAGATATCCCAGGCTCTGCCAGGGCAGCAGTGGCCTCTTCCAAATCCCCCATCCTCTCCTGCCCTAGCTCCCCTGTTCTCACAGGACCTCTTTTGGCTGCAGCAGTGAGAGGCACTCAGCTTGGTGCACCCTGCATGGTGTCAGAGGGCAGCGAGGGGCGCCACCAGTCCATCAAGCTGGAAATTGCAACAGCCCGTGGTTCTGAAATCCCCCTTAGCCCTGGGGTCCTTGCTAAAACCCACTTAGCGTCATTACACTCTGTGTCCACCGGTTTTTCGCTTCCCGAGCGAAGCCGCTGTGTGCTACCTTGGAGGAGGCTGCATGCGACATGTGGAGGACATGGTCCCTGTGTGTCGTCAGCCAATCCGTCACTAACGTGCTTGGGCTGGTGTGGCCAGTGGCCAGCCTTCCTGCTCTTGAGTTCTGCCACGTCCCTTTCCTCTCTGGTCTTTGCTTCCTGGTGGCAGGAGCCGGTTTCAAGATGCTCCCCAATGGGCATCTGCATCTGTCCCGGGCCTCTGTGCAGGACGCTGGGGTTTATCTGTGTGTGGCTCAGAACCCCGCAGGCACCGCGCTGGGGAAGACCAGACTGATCGTGCAAGGTAGGAGTGTGGCTGGGGACCCACCTTGGAGCAAACCCAGAGCCACGTGCAAAACACAGGGGGCGGGGGGTTGTCCCGCAGGGCGTGCTCTCCTCTTCCACTGGCCTGGCTGGAATGGCTGCTCTGAGCTGGGGAGGTGACGAGTATCTGTTAATAAAACCTCCCTTGGGGTTTCCCAGCTTGAGGTGGGCGGTAGGGTGGGCAGCAGCAGCCCCGCTAGCCTGCTCTTTCCGTCGTGCCCCGCGGCAGAGCTTGGTCACCGTTCTCATCCCCTGCCAGTGCTGGATGGGGATACGCTCCAGCTTTACTGTGCTTGGAGGCTCAGTGGCAGAATTGTGCTGTCGCTAAGCCAGCACCTGGGAGCCACGGGTCCCAACTTGCTGTTACTAGAGACAGGCTGAGCTGTGAGTCCAAATTTCCCCCACGCAGGTGGGCGTTCTGGTCTGGGTTGCGAGAGCACAGAGGCGGGTGCTGCAAATGCTGCGTTCGTCTCCGTGCACGGCGAGGGAGCGCAGGGGAAGATGGGGGTGGTTGGGCAGCAGGCAGGGCAGAGGGTGAGAAGCAGAGGGTAAGAGAGGAGCACCGGGCAGAGCGGTCAGGCTGGGACTGGCAGATACTTCCAGCAGCTGCATTCGCCAGGGGCCGGCCTGGCATCTCACTCCAGGGCACTTCTGCAAACTCTGTTCAGTCAAAGCTGGCTCACTCCGGGCATTCGCTGGGAAGTAGCTGTGGGAGGGGAACCCTTGTCATCAGATGAGGGATCCTTTGCCTCCCACTCTGTTTTTTTCCAGTGCCGCCAGTCATTGAGGCTGGCCAGCTGGAGCTGTCCATCCTGGAGGGCTTGCCTGTTCTCCTGCCTTGTGCAGCGCGGGGAGTCCCTGAACCCAGAGTCACCTGGTCCAAAGATGGGGTCCCAGTGCCGGGGATGGAGGGGAAGTTCACCTTGCTGCCATCTGGGGGGCTGATGGTGAAGGACTCCCAGGTAAGCACCTCGAGGGGACAGTGTGTGTTCTGGCTTTTCCCATGTAGTTCTCCCAGGCCTGAGACAGTAAAGGGAACATCTAGAAAAGGGATATTCCCAATATCTGGAATGGTATATACAAAAGCCTGGAGGAGAACACTTCCATCTCCCTGGACACACAGTAGGGGTATGTCTACACTACCCTCCTATTTCGAAATAGGAGGGTAATGTAGGCATACCGCAATTGCAAATGAAGCCCGGGATTTGAATTTCCCGGGCTTCATTTGCATAAGCTGGGCGCCGCCATTTTTAAATCCCGGCTGGTTCGAACCCCGTGCAGCGCGGCTACATGCGGCATGAACTAGGTAGTTCGAACTAGGCTTCCTAGTTCAAACTACCGTTACTCCTCGTGGAATGAATTGACCTCATTATCTCTAACCTTACTCTTGATTGGAACTCTTTTCTTATGCCTGTATATTTTTGCCTGCCTCTGAAATTTCCACTACAGCATGCATGTGACAAAGTGGGTCTTTGCCCTCGAAAGCTTATGCTCCAATAAATCTGTTGGGGTATGTCTACACTACAAAGTTAGTTCGAACTAACGGATGTTAGTTCGAACTAACTTTCATAGGCGCTACACTAGCGCTCCGTTAGTTCGAATTTAATTCGAACTAACGGAGCGCTTAATTCGAACTAGGAAAACCTCATTTTACGAGGATTAAGCCTAGTTCGAACTTACTAGTTCGAATTAAGGGGTGTGTAGCCCCTTAATTCGAACTAGTGGGAGGCTAGCCCTCTCCAGGTTTCCCTGGTGGCCACTTTGGCCAACACCAGGGAAACTCTTCTGCCCCCCTCCCGGCCCCGGAGCCCTTAAAGGGGCACGGGCTGGCTACGGTGCCCGTGCCAGGTGCAAGCCTGCCAGCACCCA